AAACGAAATCACGAAACTTTTTTCGTATTTTTGTCTCGTTTATTTCCCTGGTTGATCAAACCAAATAAAAGAAGATATCATAAATTATCTCCTTTTGATGATATTTCATTAGAGCTGAACTCAAACTTGGTCCTTCGGGTAAAGAATGCAAACAAAAGATACCAATTTCTGCTCTGATTCAATCCTGTAATCCCGCTTACTTTCTCCTGGCAACAGCAACGAAAAAGTAATTAAACATTCAATATAATCGACATTTCTGGGCCCACCAACTTGTTATCCAAGCCAACAATGAATAGGCGCCCAATTTTACAGTGACATCAACCAACATTTTATTCGAAATACTGACATAGCGACTCATTTATTTATTCATTTTTTGGGGGGCTTTTTTTTTACTTAAAGTTTCTATTTTTTTCTGGAAATGTGATGCTTCAATCAAGTAACTTGACTGATTTCTTCCCTTAATATGTTTAGATGTTGTTTTTGTTCAAGTTTTAACTTCCGCTATAGAAATATTTCTTTTAATTTTTGGGGCTGAACTCATATCTGTGAATGCACACATACATATACACACACACACATATATATATATATATATATATATATATATATATATATTTCAATATTAAAAAGTTCATGTAATCATGGTTTTCACTCTAAAAAACTGCTTAGGTTTCCCTCTGTTTTGGCATCTATAAGCGCGTGTATATACAGAAAAAAGCTGACGAAGGAATATATTTATATGAACACAAAATATAATTAAAAGTAAAAAAATATATCTCCTATTATAACGCAGACATTCATAATTTTTTTTTCAAAAAATGTGTCATATGGAAAAGTTTATAACAAAATAATTAGAAAAAGAAAATATATTGAACAAATAAGCAACATCTTGTGATGTTTTTTTGGCGGGTTTTGGTTGAAGGAGCAATGTAACTATATGAAATCAAGACTTTGGAAGAATTGATGGGCGAATATAAGAAGTTGTGTCTTCCTAGCCACAAGAGTTTCTGGTGAAATCAATTGATGCGATTTCGAGGCGGCTCGAGAAACTACTAATTAAATATTGTGCCCTCATGTAATTTTAAATAAAACCTCATGTAATATCTGTCTATATTTCTGAGATGAGGCATTATGTACATTATTTACATTATTCGGACTATTGTTCTCATCTTTGTCGCCATATTTATTACAACGGGTTTATTAAAAAGGGTTCAGTTCGACATTCCAACCACCTGAAGAAGGCCGGAGCGTACAACGGCCGAAACGTTGTAATAAATATGGCGACAAAGTTGAGGACAATAGGCCGAATAATTTAAATAAAACTTCGTATCATACGATTTCCTCTGATATTCATTTCTTATAAAAGGTATAGTTATTAAATAAATTGTAAATATTTTAAGATGGGTAGTTACATTTAGGCTATTCTGTATAAATGCTTATAAGCTGTCTTTAAGAGAACAGAACTTCTTTCATGAATAATTTATTGTTATTAAGTCTTCATTATGGAAACTAGGCTTACAACCACATAGAAAGCCTAGGTCTCTTTTGGCCATCGAAGTTAAACAACGACGAGCGTAGGCAGTGCCTAGATGAGTAATGGCTTAGGAATAGCAGATGCTGTAAGCTTGATCATGCGGTTGTGTAGTCGGTAACGGCTCGAATTTGGAAATCAGAGAAGTGAGTTTCAGTTCTATTCGAGCTCGTTACATACACTTACCGGCGGCGTACACCGTTCTAGTTCCACGTGCCATGCCTAATGGATGTCAGTTATCTCCTTTTAATTCCCGTCTCAAAGTTCTCCACCGCCTTAACCAGGTATTGAACCCACACTCTTTAGGTCCTGTCACTAACGCCTTTATCCACTGTGCCATGTGCCGGAGCGTACAACGGCCGAAACGTTGTGATAAACATGGCGACAAAGATGAGAACAATAGTCCGAAAAATGTAAATAGTGTACACATACACGTAAATATTATTAAACAGTTTATGAATTCACATCTTACCGTACCAACTATGGGTTAATTAGTAAGACCGATATTAGTAAAGCATTATTATTTCCATAATTTTCATACAATCTGAAAATATTTTCTGGCTGTAAATAATCAGCAAATATGTTAAAAAATATTAACGAAACACGCAAGTCATTAAAAAATAGGATTCAGATAATAAATCAGCAACAGTTAAAATAGAAATAAAAATATTTACGCGCCAATCGTACTTGATTCTTAATAGATAAGTGAAATACTTACAGAAATATGATTAAACCGTTTTAAAATGTAAACGAAGTCACCACCCCTCCAATCTCATATTGTTCATTCCCTTCCACTTCCATTCCCTGTAATAATCCCCTGCGTTCTAGTAGAATTATCACCTTGCTTGGTATGAAACGATTAATATATATATATATATATATATATATATATATGCATGGCCTTGTCTGTTTTGAGAAAGCATGAGAAAAGAATATTTAACAGAAAAAAATCTCTATTAGGTAGACAAAACGTAATTCACGTTTACCAATTAAACGCTAGCCTTTCTCAAATTTAAATTTATCGTTATAGAAATTAGATTATAACTTCTTTCAACTTTCTTTCATGTTTCTGTATTTATTCTATATATTTTCTTTTTTGTATTTATTTGGTTATTATCTTTTCCATATGACATTTCTTTTAGAAATTATGTATGTCTGTATTGCGTTAGGAGATATATTATTTACTTTTAATTACATTTTGCGTTTATATAAATATATTCCTTCGTCAGCTTCCTTCTGTATATACTCACGCTTATTGATGCCACAACAGAGGGAAATCTAAGCAGTTTTGTAGAGGGAAAACCATTACGTGAAGTTTTTAAAATATATATATATATATATATATATATATATATGTGTGTGTGTGTGTGTGTGTGTGTGTGTGTGTGTGTCTGTATGTGTGTATTAAAACAAATATTGTTGAATGTAACAGACGACGAATTTCTATTAAGTTTTATCTTGGTCCTTTCTAAGTGTTGTATAATGGCTTCAGTTTCAAAACAAAATAATAAAAAAAAATGTCCAACATTTTGATATTACTTTGTTACACTGCTCGTCGATTTAAGCTTTCGGCTCACATGAGCCATCATCATATAAACCACTCTCATGGTGGATCATCTGAGCCGAAAGATTTAGATCGACGACAAGTATAATGAAGTAATATCAAAATGCCGGACAGTTTTTGTCTTTAGTTACTCTTGAAACAAAAGCTATTATACGATGCTTGAAAAGGCTCAAGATAAAGCATAATAGACATTCAGTGTCTGTTATATTTTAAAATATTTGTTTGAATAATGATCTACTGCCCTATGCACTATATATATATATATATATATATATATATATATATATATATATATATATATACACGTTTCATTAAATAATATAGACAAGTGTTTGTCTATTTATTTTATGTAAAATTTTTCGTATCTTCTGATAAGTTTGATAACATTATCATTAACCGAAAAAAAAATTCACAATATTTATCCATTATTTTTAATAAAATCTAAGCTTTCGGCTTACTCAAGCCATTATCAAAGATGTAATTACAAACATATCAAACAATATACGGACACGACAGTGATGATAGTCTGTCATTGTTTTGTTTACATAGTTGATCACTAAGCAACGATGAATACGCGCATATAAAACGCTAGAAGCGAAAATCGCACCGCATCTCATGACGTCACACATGACTACACGAGTGAATTGTAGAATGAAATAAGGAAAGCCGTTGGTATAAACCAATGGCTTCTGTTACCAATTATAGAAATTATAGACATTTAACAATATTTGTAGAGATTCCATAGTTGATTTTGTTTAGGTTGGGTTTTAACTGTTTGATGTATAATGCTTCAAGTATTTTTAGTTTTTGTCTATTGTTTTCAATGATTCTTCTCCCCCCGGTTAGCGATTTGCAAAAAATTAAATTAATCATATACCAACATAGTTTATAAAATGTTCTTCTCCCCCGAGTTAGCGTTTTCAAACGAACAAACATAGTTTATAAATTCAAGTGCCTTTGGGAGAGTGTATTCCAACGAATTAAATAATATTTATGTTGGTCACACCACAAACTCGCTTTCGACGCTTGACACTACATTTTAATGAAAACTCTAACATTTTAGGCATTTAAAACAACATGCCTGCCCGCACACACAATTCCGTAAAAATACTTGTCGAAAACACAACTATACTTCGACATGAAAACCGAAAAACTTAGATTTTATTAAAAATAATGGATAAATATTGTGAATTTCTTTTTTTCGGTTAATGATAATGTTATCAAACTTATCAGAAGATAAAAAATTTTTACATAAAATAAATAGACAACACTTGTCTATATTATTTAATGAAACGTGTATAAATGAAAATATGCTGCCTAAATACACACAATTTAAATATATATATATAGATATAGATATATATATATATGTGTGTATATATGTATCAGGGTTTTGACTTTTTCGACTTGTTAAATTTCATGCGTACACGTTTGTGAGTAGATTCCATCAAATATAACATTTAAAGTAATGAAAACTAACATCAGAATAAAAATAACCTTCAGTAGATTATATGCGTGTATGTGTCTGTATAATATATATAAATGTATATATGTGTATGTGTGACTGTAAATCTATATATCTATAAACGTATACATATATATATATATATAATTATATATATGGACATATATATATGTGTGTGTATGCGTATGTTTATATTCATTTTTCTAAATGTATAAAAATAAGAGGATAAATGATATTAAACCACAAATAATGATATCACAATACACACCAGTACATAGATATGCATAGATTGAAATAGATAAACATGAATAAACCGAGATAGATAGATAGATATAGATATGATATGAATATATATATATATATATATATATATATATATATATATATATATATATATATATATATAGATAGATAGATAGATAGATAGATAATGAACAAACTTTCGTAGATACATAGATATGAGTAGATTGACATAGATAGATAGATAATGAACAAACTTTCGTAGATACATAGATATGAGTAGATTGACATAGATAGATAGATAGATAGATAGATAGATAATCACCAAACTTTCGTAGATACATAGATATGAGTAGATTGACATAGATAGATAGATAGATAGATAGATAGATAATCACCAAACTTTCGTAGATACATAGATATGAGTAGATTGACATAGATAGATAGATAGATAGATAGATAATGACCAAACTTTCGTAGATACATAGATATGAGTAGATTGACATAGATAGATAGATAGATAGATAGATAGATAGATAGATAGATAGATAGATAGATAGATAGATAGATAGATAGATAGACGCTGTAATGAATACCATAACTATGCAAGCTTGAAAACTTGCGTCAGGTTGGAGATGAACAGAATCGGAATGAGTTACAACGGCGTCGCAATCCAACTTTTCCGGTGCAATTGTTTGCTCCCATTGTGTTTTTGAGACAGCAATCTTGTTTAGCTTGGCCGAAGGCAGTCTGTTTCGTCCGCCATCATTACCGACCAACGTCGGGTCGAACAAAAAGCCAAGGTCCGTGCAAAAGGCCACGCGAGTTCCCCAGGGTCATTTGATCTTTTCTCACCACAATAAAAGTAGCCAGGATCATTATTTTGGGTGTCAGTCTTGCGACACAATAGAAAATGTACAAAGAAGAAGAAGAAGAAAAAGAAGAAGAAGAAGAAGAAAAAGAGGGAGGAGGAGGAGAAGGAGGAGGAGAAAAAGAAGAAAAAGGAGGATGAGGAGAAGGAGGAGGAGGCGATGAATAGTCGCTAATATACGATTGTCGATGGAATTTCGAGTGGTCGGTTTTCTATGAATTGTGATTTAAGTCGTTATCATAATTGCTAGAACGAATATAGTTTTCATATCGTATTCATTTTGTTAGATTTCGTTCCCCTCTTCCCTTTATTGGATTATGCAGAACCAACAGTAGAAGAGCAGACACATCTATATCTATCTTTTAAAGTAGCACAAAGGCGTTCGATAAAGTAAGAAAGGAACAGAACTTTGAAATATTATAAAAGCTTTATCTACACCTAAACGATCATCACATAATATGGAAGCTGACATCGAAGAGTTTGCATGTAGATAAAGAACAAGTCGAATTCACCCCAAATAATAAAAAAATAAACGTATCCTAAGATTTATTTTTCTTTTCTTCTTCATGCACCGTGTCCTCACGGGAGGTACGAGATTAGGGCTCTCCACAAATCCCTGTCCTTTGTAGCTTTTAATAAATTTTGATTTTTAGTTATTTCTACTAAACCCTTTTCCGTAAACCATTCACTCAATCTCACTAAGAATGTTAAGCGTTGTTTTCACTTTTCCCTCTAGCCTTCAATTTGTCTAGTTTGGATCAGATTTTCCAAGTGCTTATTCCTCATTAAGTGCTCTAGAAATTTCAGCTGTCGCTTCCTGGAGTGGAATATAAGTTTCCTTTTAGTTTTTGTTATTTTTCTATAAAAAAAATTCGCCATTTCACACATATTCGGTCCACGATATCCTCAGTATCCTTCTGTAGAACCTAATTTCTGTTGCTTCAAGTTCCTTAGCGGAGATTGTACAGAATTCACTGTTATATAGGAAGACAGATATCACGTAACAATTCAGTACTTTTTTTGTTTGTTTCTAACAAAGTTTGTATGTTTCCGAATAGACTGCTTAGTTTTTGGAATGCATCTTTGTCTATCCAAATGCGACTTCGGATTTCACCGTCACACTTCCCGTCCTCTGTTAAAACACTTCCTAGGTATTGAAATGTTTATACTTGTGTGATTTTGATATCCCCGATTTGAAGTTTGCATTTTGGGTTCATCATTTTACTAACAATTATGTATTTCACTTTTTTTGCAGTTTTAAAATTCGTCCTATCTTCTCGCTTTCCTTCGCTAATTTATTTGATTTATTTATATTTTTAAGTGAAGTGACTTTTATCCATTAATATATCTACTTTAATATCAGATATTTTGTTTTTTTTAAGTTATCAATGAAAAAAAACGTATTAATTATCTCTATCTATAAAAGGCAGGATGTTTGTGTAACGAATGCACGGCCGCAATTTTAGTCGGATTTGCACCAAAATTTACATGCACATGCTCCAAGTTAGCCGAAAGGCCAAGACCGACTTTGCATTTCCCAACTCCCATCGATAGTGGAAATAATCGATTTTTTCATGCCTCTACGGCAGTTTTCATGTAGTTTGTAGACATTTTCTACTGGCCAGAGTGAGAGCCTATAGCTGACTGCCACGAATAGGCAGGACGATTCTATTAGCCAGCATGAGAGCCAATAGCTGACCGACACGAAGGTTGACTAGCATGCTTGCATGCAAAAAAAATCGATAGCTGCATTCGTCACAAGTGGGAAAATGTAAATCTGCATGGCACTTTACTCCAATTGGCTCATTCGCTTGCTTAGAGTCAATGTTGATTCTGATTCCGCAGAACTGGGTTGAGTGTGAAAAAGTATTTGTTGTTAACATTCTTTTTTCATTCGCTTTTTCCAGTTACGAGTCCTTTTTTAAAGCTGATCGTTTTGTGTTCATTTTGTTTAGTTCTTTTTTCGTAACAGATTTAATGTTTAGTATAGAGCTTAGAAAAATTCGCAGTGTGAGATAGGCAAGAAGTATGGCATGTAGCAACATCAGCACGGAAAAGAGCACTCCTTTAAAGGCAAGGAAGGGCAAAAATATTTTAAGTCAAGTGATAGCGATTGCTGTATGAGTCGTACGATTTTTGAATCAAGCACGGGCAACGCCGGCCCATGCTGCTAGTATTCTTTAAGACCTAAATTATTCCTTGACTTAAATCCATTTTTAATCATTGATCTGTTAAAAGAGTTGCTCGTGTGTTAATGTTCAGTAGTAATGGGTATGACGATAACCTATATCAGGTAGTAACGTATGCTGGTCGGGAGATTGGAGGTTTTCAGGAGCCTGGAACCACCTCTTAATTGTTGTTGTCCCCAGGTACACCGGGGTAGTAGTACCTGTTAGGGTCCCAATTATGGGAAAATAGTGACCCCCCCACCAAACAAAACACTATGAAATTATAAAAATACATTGTCATAGTAGAAGTAACAACAATATATTTTTATATATAAAAAGTACAAAAATTAAATGTTTATAATAAAATTATTAACAATACGCACATACTCAATTGTAGTTACTTCACCTAAGTCTGTTTAAAATACTACCAAATAAACAACATGAAAGAATTCTTTCGTGATATTAATCTATACAATATCCTACAGTTTCTTAAAGAAAACAAACTGTATTCTAAAATATAACTTAAACGAAACCACAACATAAAATAAACACCATTATCTCTATTAATCATGTTCACACAGAAAGAAATTTCATATTAATCTATATAGTATTCGAAAATTTCTTGAATCGAACTATATTCCAAAATATAAGTTCAATAAAACTACAACATATAACACACATATCACGGTCACTAGTAATCATGTCCACGCAGATATGTATATGCATAAAACCTGAGTATCATCTACCATGTATTCAAAACAGAATCACATATTTTTATGACTTCGAAATTCAATTTCGCCCTCAAATGACCCATAATGCAGTTAAACAAACAAATAAATCAAATCATGAGTTTAGATATTTTTTAACTCGCTGTACGCTATGCATTCACATAAGAGTCAAAATCTGACGAGGCTATTTAAGAAAATGACATCAAATTACCAATTATCAAATTCGATCAAAGTGAATGACTCTAAACGCATGAAACACTGGCACTTAAACACTATTTTTGTTTTATTTTCTAAAAATTTGCTGTTTCCTTTTAAACTTATAGAAACAGATTTTGATCAGAGTTGAAGTAGAAACAGCCTGTATGCTTAATTACAATACTCCAGCAGAGTTTTCTCTTGATACGCATGCGTTGATAACCCTATCAGCAGCTGTAACCTCTTCCCAGGATTGCGAAATACATAAAAAGAAAACATTTAAAAAAACATGGAGCATGCATATTGCAAATCTGAAAAGGTTCGTCCTCTCTCACATCGGACCAAGATTGGAATAGGACGCTAAAATTAGCTTTCCATGCCACAGACCCACATGAGGAGTAGTATCACTCTAATTCACAAACATTGGAAGTTAAAATTTTCTTCTCACTTTATAGAGGCAATTTATTTCTGAGAAATATCTCATTTCGTTTCACTCTTTTGTCGATTTTCTTAACCAATTTACTGTTTTCAGTTAATTTTCGTCACTATTTTCTCATCTTCAAACGACGACCCCTAATCTAATGACAGCAATACTTTACGTTGAGCCATGGCAGCATATCGTCATGTTGTTAAAACTATTATCGAAAAAAAATTGTACGAGTCTTGTTGCGTTTCTTATTTCTCAACAAGAATTACTCCTCCACACCCATCACAGCTGCAAAAACACAAGATTGGTAGTTATGAGTTGGTCGGTACCAGTAAGATAGAAAAAAAAAAACATCTATAAACTGGCTGCTTCATTATTTTCATATAACTAATGATTTGCTAGTTATCTTTTTCTTTGTAAATTAGACAAAGAAAAATAGCATGCAATCGTACGTACGCAGGCAGGTAACAATGTAACATTATTATAGGTGGTATTTGTACTGTATGAGAATATGTGTAGGGATGATATCAATAGACAAAGTGGGAGTCACTGTTAAATCCGTATGGAGACAAATCTTGTTGCTTTCAGCGGATATGAGACTACCGTTTCGTAAGAGTCGCGATAGTACATGCTATCGATGAACATGTATAAACATGATCATCTTCAGGCGATTTAATCATACCACAGGCTCAGTTTACTTAATCTGGCCGCTTCATCTTTCATGACGGCGTGTAGCCAGGCCCATTGCATATTCTTCGTTCAATCAGAGTTAAGACACAACTTGGTAATTGTTTTCCTATTCATTGAAGATAAAGTTTCATTGAAATTACATAATGCCGCGATATTGTATAGCTTTTCGATTATAACATAGACAGAGAGATAACTTGGAATAAGTTCAGGGCGCGTTGTTGTATAGCGAAGGGTTAGTGAATTTGGTTGACGATTGGTAACGAGATCGATTCTCACTGAGTGCTCTAAAAGTTGTGCTAATCTCAGCTAAGCTACATAAATTACAGCAACTGATCTTTAAAACGGTACTGAACGTATGATAAAAGTATAACTGTCCTAGTAGTACATTGACGTTTGGTTATAATTAGTAAGCTAGTTCGAATTGACCAGTAGTAGTGACTAGCAGCATGAGCCGGCGTTGCCTGTGCTTGATTCAAAAATCGTACAACTCATACAGCAATCGTTATCACCTGACTTAAAA